CCCTCCCCTCACCTTGGATCCTCATACTCGTGCTACAATAATGGTTTTATACAGTATTTGTCCTTATGGGACTGAGTTCACTCGGCATGATGCTCTCCAGTCCCTCCCAAGTTAGGTAGTGACTCACAAAATCATTGCTCCTGTATGTCGCATAGTATTCCATTGTGTGAATATACCATAGTTTCTGAATCCATTCTATTTTGCTTGGACATTTGGGCTGTTTCCATGTATTCTTGCAATAGTGACTAATGCTGCTACAAACACTGTTATCCAAATCTCCATTTGTGCCTCAGTTCTCACTCTTTCAGGGTATATTCCAAGCAGCAGAATAGGTGGGTCACATGTCATTTCTTTGTTCAGCTTTCTGAGGAAACCACTTTACTCTGCTTTCCAGAGTAGTTGTACCATTTTACAACAGTGTCACATCCTCTCCAGCATTTATTACTTGCTGTCCTGTTAAACTTTGTCACTGCTACTGGAGTGAGATGGTATCTCATTGTGGTTTTGATTTACATCTCTCTTTATTGCCAGTGATTTTAAACATTTCTTCCTGTGTCTCTTGGCCATTCAAACATCTTCCTTTGTAAAAATTCTTTCCATGTATTTTGCCATTTTGTAATTGTGTTATCAGTCTTTTTCGTGTGGAGGCCCTGTAGGATTCTGCAAACTGTTACTATGAGACCTATGTCTAGAATGGTATTGCCAAATATTTTTCCCCAATCAGTAAGTTTTCTTTTCACTCTGCTGGGCCAAGTTTTTGATGATGTACACAAGAATTTAATCTTCAGACAGTCCCATTCATCAACTTTATCTTCTCCAAATTGAGCATTTTTGGCTATAGTTAACAATCACTTTCTACCACAGGCTAGGCCATCTAAGCTTGATCCCAGTTTGTACCTTATGAACTTTATAGTTTTGGGCTTTTGTCCCAGGTCTCTGATCCATCTTGAGGTGATTTTTTGTATGGTTTGAAATATCAATCCTGTTTCAGTTTTCGGCAAGTAGCAGTCCAATTTTGCCAGCACTGTTTGTTGAAGAGGTTGTCATTTCCACATTTCAAAAGTTTTATTTCCTTGTCGAGTATCAGTTGACCATAGACAGATGGGTCCATTTCTAGGTTCTCAATTCTGTTCCATTGGTCTATGTGCCTGTCACTGTACCAGTACTGCTTTGGTTACTACCGCTGTGTAGTAGGTTTTGAGGTAAGGGAGTGCTATGCCTTCCGCTTCATTTTTTATATGCATATACACCACTTTTTAATGTTACAGAAATTCTTAAACATTTACTCATTCACTTACTGTCCTTGAGTTGAATTGACTTGACAGGTGACCCTCCACTGGGTTTCATATAATGTAAAAATTATCAACTATACCTGAAATAAGACTATAAATTGAAATTCCAATACATTATTGAAGGAACACTGGTTAAGCGTGTCACTGTTCACCAAAATATAGACAGTTTTAAACCTACTATCCACTTTATGGGTACAAGGTGTGACAGTATCCAACTGGAAAGGCAGTCTTGGAAATCCTAAGGAGCAACGAGTTCTACTGTACCAAAAAGAGAGTCATTGTGAGTTAGAGTCCACTCAACACTAATAGGTAGTATTTTACCCTCATTCTCTTTGATGGTCTTGTTAATCTTTCAGGTATACACATATCACCAACTCAAGCTAGTGAGAATCTTACTAATTTTTGTTTCCTCAGAGTCCCTGTGAGACATGACACATCGAGAATTTGCTGACTAAATAAATGAAGATATAATACAAAAAAAGTATTAACTGACTATACAGTAACATTGACATGTACAGTTCATTATCACAAAGGGGTGAGGAAAAAAAATTGGAGATTTTTAAGATTCCTTAAAAGTTCTGAAATGCTCTAATCTGCAACTCATTTTACATTTAATGTTTTTTGAATGCTAGTTATGTTCCAAGGAATTAGAACAAATTTTGGAAGAATACACAAGCCACAACCTTAAAACACAATAAGGAGAAGCAGCAAAAAAATAAAAGATATATTGCTAAAAATCTTCAATGAAACTCAGAAATCATATGCAATCTAAAATTATGTTCTGTTGTTGGTGAGTACCATCGAGTCAGAAGAGACCCATAGCCGACTCTTCAGCAGAATTTCAGAGGCAGTTAATGGCACAGGAGAAAGCCCATCATTCTCCCAAAAATTATGTTCTAGTCAATATATTTAAGATAAATACAAACCAGAAGTAACAGTTACCACTAATACACCTCCCTAAAACAAAAGGTATACTTTCAGAAAAATGTTAACAGATATAATTGACACAATGTTGCTAAAATAGCACATATATACAATCTTGCTAATTTCTAGAACTATACAAATGTAAACAAGTAGAAGTTCTGCCCTTTCACTTAGAAGCAGTGTTATCTGTCATTAACACAACACTTCACTTCCAAGGCCTCACTCAGCAAGATAAACTGCCTGCAATTCCATATTTGCATATGGTAATCTATACTTTTTCTTTTTTTTTTTTTCCCCCCCTTTTAATACTACCTAGTTACGGCTTAGGAAGCTTTGGTGGCCTAAATGTATGAAGCTGCCCAGCATTCCCAAAAGCAGGTTTGAATCCACCAGGTGCTCCTTGGGAGACATACGGGCAGTCTCCCGAGGAATTTACTGCCTCTGAAAACCTACTAGAGAGGGTTCCAACTCTAAGGTACACAACAAGTTACAGCTTGGCATTATTTAGTGCTCAATAATATTAAGAAAAGCCAACCAGGGAGATATTTTAGTAATAGTTTACCAGGCTTCTTCAATGATTCATGTAACACACACTGAACCTACATAATGTATATCCTACCTTTTCTCTTTTTCCTTACATACCATAAACAAACAGGTGAGAACAATGGATAGAGGGTTTAGTATCCACTGAGATTACTCACAAGCCCTAAAAAAAGTTCCCTTAAGAGTACTTAAAATATTTTTTTAGCTCTGTCAAAAGCTTTATAAACTCCTTCTGCAATCTTATTGAAAGAAATCCTATGAGTGTTTGACATTTACAGGACTAAACAGTATCATGTTTAAAATAGTTATTACATTTGGGGGAAGGGGGAACCCTCCCAGATTACATTAAGGAATATTATTTTATCAACTGGATTTCTGCTTTTGCTTTAATTTTCCTCTGCAGGTAAATGATAAATGTAAATACACTCAATAGTTACAAATAAGGTTTTAACAAATATTTTCCTACCTCTTCAAACAGATGTATTAAAATTCAGCAGGCAGATATTCCACAAAAAATATAACAAAAAAATCTTGCATCAAATCCATTTAAAAATCACCACCTATTCATTTAGATTTACAAAGGTACAATCTTACAGTTTGCTATGACATTAGGCAGGGTAGAATTGGATAAAGGTTTAATTTTAGAATTCCGTAATACCAACTGTATCACTGATATTCACAACCTTAAACTTGAGAAACTAAACACTTCTGAACATTGAAGCAGTAAATCAGTTTGATTGATGTCCTCTTTTATGCCTTGCAAGCTATTGCTTAATTGAGGACAGACCTGTCAGGCTCCAACAGCATCCCGGAAATGACTATACTAGGAGGGCTGGAAACACATCAAGAATTTGGAATATTTCTCATATTGAGGCAGGGAGGGGGAAATTCAAGTGAGACTGTCCATAGGAACAATCATTGCAGTGTTCCACAAGAAAAAAAACTAACCACTCCTCACATAAAAAGCATTATTTTTGTTATCCTACTAAATTTACAATTCTGCATTGGTTTTCAGGTGATAGGCAACTGAATTCATACCTCTCTCCTCTTCCTACAAATGAATATGATAAAATTCCCATTGTGAACTCCAGCCTTTGAATCTAACTTTTCTTTGAAATCCTTAGATACTAACTAAAGCCATCATCTAGAGCATGGCTGGTTTCCCTGACTTGGAAACCTGTTAACACTTTATACCTGCTTAATGGTCTTCACTCCTTACCAAGAAAATCCATTAAATGTCGAAAAGAAATACAAGCACACACTGACACACACACTCGAACACCAGTCGCGAAAAATTAAGTCACATCCAGGCCATAAACTGCAACATACACTTCCAGTTAGTGTGTTTTCGCGATCACCAACAACGGTATCAGAGTAAGTGGTAGGGGGTTGGGGCTGTTAACAGCCTACAGTGCATCAGAGCCAATAAGCAGTAGGCCAAGGCTGGCAGCAAAACCAGTCTCTAAAGGGAGCTATAACACAATATCAGAATGCTGGATTTCCGAATACCATTTTATAGGGGGGCGGGGGCGAGAACCGGGAATCAAGTGCAATTAAAAGGATATGGCCAACGTCGGAGATGAAACCTAAGACAAGGTCCGTGGCAACACCAGCTGTCCAGCCTCATCTCACCTCCAAAGACAACTTAATTTCAGGTCGTTCCTATCAAAGTCAGTCGCTCAAAGGCTGAGGGGAGGCAGAGGTGGATACTGATAGTCCCTAGGGGGGCTGGTAAAGGCCATCGGCAAAGGCAGCGACTTGGCTATAGGAAGGGGACTTTCTAGCAGCAGAGAGCTTTGCAACTGCCTCCCCTCTCCGACCAGCCAGGGCTGCTGGGGTCCAGGCTAGGATATAGTCGGAGATTTGGATGAAGGAGTGATACAGAGAAAATGGCAGTGAAGGATGTGGGGGGCTGGAAAGGCTGGGGCCACCGAAGAAAAGGGGGAGAGGACTTCCCTGGACACATCCAGGTTAACAACGCCACCAGATAGCACGGGCACTGCCCTGCCAACGCCTGATAGCCTTTCTCTCTGGGAAAGCTTCGCCCCCTTCCAAACGATCCCAATTTCCAAATACTGCTTCGCACTCGACCCCTTACCCCCGTAATTTTCCCCCTCACTCGCCTCTTTCTCTTCCGCCACAGGCGCCCCCCTACTCAGCCTCCCCCACGACGGTCACCCACCCTCTGGACAGCCTGTCGCCGGCCTCCCCGGCAGCTCGCCCAAACCCCTCCCCCCTCACCTCTCCTCAGTGCCTCCTCGTAGCTGAGGAATCCGATCCGTGACTCCTTGGCGCCCATGCTCCCCTCATCCCCTCGGCCGGGGGTCGGAGCCTGATCTCGCCCCCACCCCCCTCCCGCCTTCTCCTCGGCGTCCCTGGGTGACGGTGTCGGTGTCCCCCGGCCCCTTCCTCCTCCCCCTACACTAACAAGTGCGGCTTCTGCCCCGGCAGCTCCTCCCGGCCGCCGCCACCGCCTCCATGCCTAATCACGTGACCCGCGCCCACCCCGCCCCCTTCCCCTCCCTCCTACTCCGCCCTTCTCTCTCCTCCCCTCCTTTCCCTTCCCTGTTCACGCCCTCACCCCTCCCCCAACCCCTCCCGCCAGCCCCGCCAAGGGTCACCTGACCCGAGCCGGGGGATTGTTCCGGGTAATGGCCGCCAGGGGCCAAACGCTCCTCCCCATCCCGCGCTACCACGCGCAGGAGCGAATGGGCGGGGCCGGATCGGCGCACGTAACGCGTCTTCTCCAACCCTCCGCCAATCCGAAACCGCGAGGAGGCGGAGCCTATGCCGCTGCGGGAGCGCGAGGACTTCCGGGGCGCGTGAGGGCTAGTTCCGGCGCGCGACGGGCAGAGCTGGGCTTTTTCTCTGTGTGCGAACGATGAGCATTAGGAACTCTAAGGCTTGGGCTTCGTCAGAGATGACAGGCAGAGAGGTTCTAAGACTATGGAAATTTTGGCCTAGAGGAAGAGTTGTTAAAGGAGAATCTCCGAGAATTCCTGTGACGAGAAAATTGCTAATCCTAAAGGAGAGATCCATTTGCATACCCCGTGCCCGCTCGCTGCTAGGTTTTCTTTTTATTTAGCATGTCCCACTACCTCTGCCCACATCCACTTCTCACTCTTTTCCACCCCTTTGCCTGCCTGGGGAACTCATCTTCTCTTCAAAGAATTGTGCCCCGCCAGAAATAGGGGAGTACGAGGTTTAGCACTTAAAGCTGGGTTTTGACCAGCTATTTTCAGTAGTCTTCACTCTGAAAGCCACAGTATAAAGGTTCAGAAATAGGAGCAATTTGGGAACATTAGTGCTTGGGTTAGATTAAAAGTTCCAATTCAGGTAAAGCAAAAAGATTTTCACTCAAGAACAATAGCATATAATACTCTTTATTTCATTACTCACCTTTCCTGGCCAACTAGATGGGCAGCGTGGCTTGCTTTAGTCACAGCTCTGCTCTTCCAGTTCACTGTGCGGTAGTTAAATTTTAAAGCCTAAAATTAGTTTAATCTCAAAAGCATGGATTTAGGAATGTATGTCCAAGCCTTTTAATTTCTAGGCTATTAGTTTGGTGTCGACAGGAGTCTCCAGACAAAACAACTCGGTCATCTTCAGCATGCAAAATAGGAGTTCTGGGTTAGGCCAATATGATTGCTGGGAAATGAATCTTAAGGGCTCAACCACTAGAGAAAAGATGCTCAAGAATTTAATTTACATATACCTTAGACATTATTTCGAACCCAAACAAACTAAAAGATGCCTTGTACCAAAGATAAACCTGGTTGTACTAAATGTCTGTACTGTTCACTTCATTTACAGTGTAAAGGTAAAATAATTTGTCTAGAGCCAGTTTCAAGTGGGGTACTTGAAATAGGGGACTAGAGCTCAGAATAATCTAACACATTCTTACTGTAAAATACTTGGATGTGAAAGTATAAACTATACAACAATTTTTTTTATTATACCAACATATTGCGACATTTAAAATTTCTCTCTTCGCTTCAGACCTGACTTACCCTGAGGCCATGAAAATTTTCATCCTGTCATAGAGTTGATGGATTATGTGTCTAAAAATTATGAGATGACAAACTTAAAAAATTCTGTTTCTCCTTTGAGTTAAACTAAGCATATTACTGAAGTCAGTGAGGCAAATAGTTTAATCTGATGGGAATTTTAAATGCTGAGCTGGAATTATGATTGTATTAGAGTATCAGGCAGACATGTTAAATATCCTTTTCTAATTTAAAATGGATATAGTACTTAATATAAAGCCTATTTGTCCAGGTAATAAGAACTCTACTAATTTTGTTTGTGCACCCTTATTTATATTTCACTTAAAGTATCAAAAAGTTGGCCAACCACCTTACTTTAAGTGTTGTATTAAGCTAAAACCATTGCTTTAAATATAATTATGTTCCTGTGAAAGATTTGTCCATGTGAATATTTAAAACATGGCTAGTTGCTATGTAATTTCTCCTTCCAGTTAGACAACCTAAATGCTTGTATTCCTCAGTTTGTACTTCCAGAGAAATGGCACAGAGTAATTTATTACTTACCAAGGAGTTTTGGGTAAAACAGACATAGAAGTCAACACATCAAAGGAGGGTAACAATATTTATTTGCAACTTTGTCAAAAAATGAGGCCAAAGCTATACAAAGTAGAACTATAAAGAGAAGCAAGTTTTCAGTATGCCTTATGGGCTTAATCTTGTCACCTTCAATGCACTATTTGTAAATGTGATAACTTAGATTTCTATTCACACCAAAACTTTTTCAGTGGCATAGCTTATAGGCAGTCATGCTGCTAACCCAAAGACTGCAGCACCACCTCTCTGGTGGCTCCAGTTTACCAAAAACTGTGAGAGAAAGATGGACAGTCACCTTTGTGACTGTGATTTTAGTCTTGAAAACCCACTGGTGAGTTAACTATAAGTCAAGAGCAATGAGTGATAGTAGTGAGCCAAAGATAGAGTTCAGTTGAAATTTCAGGTGAAACTATTCAACCATTTGATAGACATTTTTTAAGATTTGTATACCTTTCTTGAAAGTTTGTCTATGCACAAGAGGTATATCTTTTCAATATATATGCAGAACAGATTATCCAGGAGGCTGGGCTCTATGAGGAGAAATATGGCATCAAGATTGGAGGTAGACTCATCAACAATCTGCGTTATGCAGATGACACAACCCTGCTTGCTGAAACTGAGGAGGACCTGAAGCGCTTGCTGCAGAGGGTCAAGGACTGCAGCCTTCAATATGGATTGAAGCTCAACATCAAGAAAACGAAGATTCTCACCTGGGACAATTGGCAGCATCATGATAGATGGTGCTGAGATTGAGATTGTTAACATCTTAGGTTTGCTTGATGCTACAATCAACACTCTTGGTACCAGCAGCCAGGAAATTAAAAGACAAATTGCATTGGAAAAGTCTGCTGTCAGAGACCTCTCCATAGTACTGAAGAGCAACAATGTCAGTCTGGAGACTAAGGTGCACCTGATACAGGCTATGGTCTTTGCAATTATTTGCTATGAATCAGAGAGCTGGATGATGACTAGGGATGATAAAAGGAGAATTGATGCCTTTGAGCTGTGGTGTTGGAGAAGAGTATTTAATATACTCTGCTAAGAGAACAAACAAGTTCATCCTGAGAGGGTGAAACCAGGCTGCTCCTTGGAGACAAGGATTCTGAAGCTTCGTCTGACATACTTTGGACATATTGCAAGATGGAATCAGTCCTTGGAGAGGGACATGCTTGGGAGGGTGGAGAGACAGCACAGGAGAGGACGACCCTCAATGAGATGGATTGATTCAGTCACTGGGGAAATCGGGGTAGGTGTATCAGAAACAGTAAGATTGGCACAGGATAGAGCAGGTTTTAGGGCTGTTGTACATAGGGTTGCTATGAGTCGCAGGCGACATGACATAACAATTTTGCTGAGCAAAAATAAAACCCAAGAGTTATTCTGTTCCTTCAATGAGATGGATTGATTCAGTGACTGAGGTAATGGGGTAGTTATGTCAGAGACAGTAAGTTTGGCACAAGATAGAACAGGGTTTGGGGCTATTGTACATAGGGTCACTGTGAGTCGCAAGCGACTTGATGGCACATAACAACAATAGTGCTTTAAAGATTTTTATTGAGCAGTTATTCCATCTGCAAGATAGCAATTTGAACCATAGTGGTAGATCAATTGTGAATAGATTTATCTAGTATAATATCATGAACTAGGATAAACCCCCTGATTAAAGATTATCCATATTGAAGCCTGTTTATTAAAAAATTAATTTTCATGTCTTTTTTTTCTTGCCAGTGAAGATCTTTAATTCATTAGCTAAATGTATACTCTCACAAGAATGACCATTTAGAGGAATTCCTAGGCTTAGTACAAAAATGACCCATAAATATGACTTATCTTTTGGATCTAGAAATGTAAGTGTTGAATATTTTTACCCCTCACATAGAAATAGTTATCTTTACGTCTTTAGATTCAATTTTCTGTATAATTGTTTAGGTCATGAATGTTGGTTTGGCTAAGTGAATTCTCAGTCAGGAAGTTGTTACATATAGATAATTGCCCCGTTTTCACTGAGCTCCAAAATTTAGTACAATAGGTATCAGTGGTTTATGCTTGTCCTTTTTCCTTTAAGCTACCACATAATTGATTTATTCATGGAACACTTTGAAAATAAGCATATTAGACTGGAACATTGCCCTAGCAACTAGACATTTTATTTATTTATTTATTTATCTATTTATTTAATGTGTGTACCGTCAAATTGGATCTAACTGGTACAGGAAGCGATTGTTCCTCCTTCTTCAGCAGAGCATCTGGTGGATTTGAACCGTGCACCTCTGGGATTGCAGTGCAGTTTCCTGCCACTAGGCCACCAGAGCTTGCCTAGACATTTATTTTTTTTTTTATTTCATTATTTTTTGTGTGTACCATCAAATCAGATCTGACTGGTACAGGAGGAGATTGTTCCTCCTTCTCCAGCAGAGCATCTGGTGGATTCGAACCGTGCACCTCTGAGATTGCAGTGCAACTTCTTGTCACTAGGCCACCAGAGCTCGCAGCAACTAGACATTTGTATAGGTGAATGGTATTTCCATTTCTTGACAGTTCAGTACAGACTCTAATGTAGGTAAAATTAAAACATGACATGTACCTGAGGTTGTGTTTATAGTGCAGGAGGATGCTAGTATTACAAGATGGACCACTAATGGTCTGTAATTAAGCATAGACATGACTCAAAAACTCACTGCTGTGGGTCAATTCCAAATCATAGCAATCCACCATTAGG